GGTCACAGGCCTTTGGAGGTCCTTAATTGCTTCTACCAGCCCTGCTTCTTAGAGTGTGTGTGAGTGCCATTTGAGATAGCATCTTTTTTCATTTGTTTGAAACTTGTTAATCACAGGTTTGACAGGAGGCCCCTGGTCCAGGATTTGGGCATTTGGTGAAAACTGTGGTTTTGTGGGAAAATTCTGGTGTCAAGCCTGTTTCCTCCACATGCTGGACCGTAACCTCTGTGCCTCATTTTCCTTGCCTGTAAATGGGTTTTTAGAAATACTTGAGATAATGCATAACAGTCTTACTCAGATTGGGGGCCTCTGGTGGTCCCCAAGACCCTGTTCATAATACTTAGAAGGCATTGACCTTTGTGCCTATATTGACATCTGCAGCAGGGTTGCAAAGCTGTAGAGGGTGGTACACACAGCTCAGTCAGGTCCTGTCCCCATCAGTGCTCCAGGTCGAGTCTGCCGCTTTTATTCATGTGTGTGCTGGGGAAGCAGGACATGACGATTGAGTAGTAAATCCTAGACCCCGGTGCACATGTCTTTTTAGAGTTCTGTGACGAAATGAGGGCTGCATGGAGGCTCTCCCGCTATGCACTGAAGTGTGACTGTTGTCTCTAGGAAGAGCCCTTCACCGTTTTTTGGGCTGTGCGCTCTACTAGTTGCTTTTGCTTATGGAACATTATTTTTATTGGAACAACTGACAGACAAGGTGTGGTTATTCAGACTTGGAAAATTTGTTCAGACATCTTCTCAAGAGAACAAAAAATGAACCTTGCCACTTTAAGGAAAACCAGCTGACAGTATTTGTTGCCGTGATAGAGCCCTCAAGGGAACATGAGAATTTTGGAAAACTTTTTTATCTATCACTGGGAGTCTGACTTCTCTGATGAGATCAGCAGTGATACATATGCACATGGATATTTTTGGTGTGGTATAATGAAATGTGACAATGTTTGGAAGATCTGATTAACTCAGTGGACCAGTATTTTCCAGATGACCAGTGTTTGATGAAATAACATTCTGGATGGATGTGAGTACAACACAGACCAGTGGGTTTTTGCACAACTGAATATAAAATAGCCATGGATACGATTTCAAATTCTCCATTGCCACTTCTAAGAAACTACCATTTGTTAAGATTTGTGTAATATCAATGAAGATTAGCCACAATTATACAAAAAGGTTATTAAAAGTCTTCATAGATGTCAATCAAAACCACATATCCTAACAGAGTGAATGTAGACAGATCAGAGAATCCAGCTACTAGCAAAAAAGTAAAACATTGCCACCCTTCTCACTAATTTTTCTTTTGAAATAGTTTCCACCTGCCCCCCATGAAAAATGTTAGTTATGTTAATGGAGAGTAGGTTTGTTGTTGATAAGTCATTTAATTATTTTTTAAAGTTACTGTTTTTTTTCTAATAGGGTAAATAGGGCAGTGACACATGACACCTACCCCAGTAACATTGCAGTGCGTCAGGGGTCCTCACTGATTTTTAAGAATGTAGCAGTAGTTCTGGAGCTGCTCACAGGAGAGTGCGCTGGGCCTCTTCACCGCCACCTCGTGCGCCCTCAGGTATTCTCCATCCTAGCTCCTCCAGTGCTGCCTCCTGAGTGGAGCTTGCTCACCTGAACGCTCATGAGGGCCTGGGCATGCTGCTGCAGCACAGCTGCGGGGCTAGTGGGAGCCAGGGTCCCTCACCCCAGGAGCCTGGTGGCCGGCCAGAAGCGGGTGCATGGAGGGAGGCAGAGGGCAGCTAGTGCTGGTGATGGGTGGGAGGAGGCGTGCAGGGCTGGCTTTGCAGAGAGGAGGGGTGACCATGGAAGGGCCGAGCTCTGTGAGGCGGCCCAGCCCCTCGGAGGCACTCTGCCCGCCTGGCCAGAGTGTGGACTTTAGCCAGGCGTTGGGAATCCATTGAAAGCTTTAAGCAGGGGAGTGACTTGATGAGATTGGTGTTTGAGGGAGATAACTCTGGGCTGATTGGATTCCATTTCGGAGAGGGCCAGGGGCTGCTGAGGGGAGTTGTGTGCTAGACTCTGGTATTTCCACTTAGGGTGGCTCTGTCTGTGCCTTTCTTCCCCTCTAGTCCTTGGGAGGGTTCCTGGGATTTCCCTCTTGGTGGGCGAGGTGCGTCCCCTCCCAGGCGCGGCAGCCCTGGCCTCTGTTGCTTTCTATTTCTTAGGAGAGGGCGCTATTTTCCGGGCACCTTCTGTGGGAGTGAGTCCTCAGAAGCCCTTGTTCACGTACTGTTGCCGTATTTGCCCAGCTGGTGCTGTCTGTGGGTTCTGTGATGGGAGGGGACGCTCAGAGAGTGTCACCCAGCCTGGGCCCCTGGCTCCCACCTGGATCTAGAAGGTCACGGGTCCCTTTCCCCTTTGTGTTGGGACAATTGTTTTGAGGAGCATGCTGGCTTCCTCAGTAGACTTGGAAACAGTGTTCCAGGATCCTTTCAAAAGTTAATCAGAGAGTGTAAATTACATGTGCACACATGTACATGCTAGTGGGCAATACACACCCTTGCTTCTCCTGACCCCCACGTAACAGGCAGCCAGTGGTCCCCTGGAGGCCCACCTGCGCTGCTCCCTGGCTCACCCTACCTCCCCGCAGAAGTTGCCAGTCTTTTTCCGAATTGTCGATCAACCATTCCCTAGCTTTGTTGCTCCCCACTCTTGTCTGGATCCTCGGACAGCGGCTGCCTGGGTCTGGCTGAGTTTGCTCTTTGTGTATGCAGAGCCGGGTGCTAATCATTATTTCGAGATTAACTGAAGTTTCTGCTTTCCTGTCTTGCACTTGGAGTGTTGCAAGGTGTCACTGTCCCACATGCCATCACGAGGCCAGACTGCCAGTGGAGCGTGTGGGTCATTTTCAGGGGTTTTGTATTTGTTGCCCCTTAAGAAGCTTGGTTTCCACACACACATGCCCACCCCAGCTCTGCTGCTCCTTGCAGAGACGTGCCTTTTAAATTTGTCCTCTGTCTCTAACCCCAGGTCCTTAATGCTGAACGACCCTTCAGCACCACTGAGACTCCGTTTTAAAAGGAGAGCGTTTGCTTCTGAAGCTGGAGTAGATGCCTCTGTCTAACTCCCTTTCTGAGCTCACGGCCACTCTTCCATTAGGCCCTTCAAGTCACCTGCTGAACTGGGGAGACCTTTTGGATAAAGCACCATACCTGGAGACTTTTCAAGCACAGGGTCACAGAGGGTAATAGTTTCCATAACAGTTCCCTAATTTTATCCTTAAAAATGGCTTTTTAAAAACTGGTGGATGCCCAGGGTGTTCTTGTGTGATTTTTTTTCTTTACCATTTTGGATTGAAGCGACCTGATCTTTGCTCTTTGGCTTCAGCTCCTTGAGCCATTTGTTTGACACTCTGGACACTTGGGGGGTTGACCATCCACACAGGAGCAACAGGGCCTTTCCTCCTCCTGTTTAGCAGTTCCCTTTGACCCCCAGTTCCTGAGGGCCTCGTCCATTTTCTCCTTGGCTTCCTCCCTTTGATGTGCCCAGCTGGCTGTGCAGGGACCTGCTCAGGCCCTTACTGGGAGGTGCATTTGTAGCCTGCCTGTGACTCTGAATTTCCTCTTCTCTCCTGGGCTTGCTTGTCAGGATTTGGAAGTCCTCTTTTTTGGTGGTAGGGAGTGGAGGGATGGGGCATCAGCTTGACACTAACCCCTAAAAAGGGGCCTGCCTAGGTTTCCTGTGGTTCCTGCTTGGTCTGTAGAGTTCCCTCTTTTAAGACACACACTCCACTCTGAACGTGGCCAGTCTCCCTCCTGCCCAGTCAGTGTTCTGCTTCTTGTCCTGTGATTGTTGTAAGTTGGGGCTTTGGGGAGGTTGCTGCCCGGCTTGGATCTGGTTGCTAATCAGGACTGAGACCAGGCCCTGCCTCCCCTCCTGAAGATTTCTGTGCACTGTACTGAATTCAGATACATCCTGCTTGTGCACAGTTGTTAGCGACAGCCCCAAGGACTCTTCACAGATGGACACACTTGTGTAACCAGCATCTAGAACGAGAAGGAATTCCAGGAGTCTCTCGTGTGTGTCCTTGAGTCACCCCCTCTCCCACCAAGCCCCTCCCCTCACCCCTGGATTCACACCGCCTGCTTCCCAACTTGAACTCACATGAACAGATAGTCTCTCTTGGGTCTGGCTGCCTTGGCTAGCTGTATGCTTGAGAGACTCATCTGTGTGTGTGTGTGTAAGTCAGACCATGTGACATTGTCAACAGTCAACCATTTCTGGCCTACAGAAGGTGAATTCATGTGCTTCAGTCCTGCAGTCCCTGTGCCTTCACCACCCCTTCGGTAGGCGCCCTGCATGCCTGGGGCTAGGGGAGCATGTGGGGACCCTGTGCTTGAAAAGTCTCCAGGTATGGTGCTTTATCCAAAAGGTCTCCCCAGTTCAGCAGGTGACTTGAAGGGCCTAATGGAAGAGTGGCCGTGAGCTCAGAAAGGGAGTTAGACAGAGGCATCTACTCCAGCTTCAGAAGCAAACGCTCTCCTTTTAAAACGGAGTCTCAGTGGTGCTGAAGGGTCGTTCAGCATTAAGGACCCGTGCATGTCTGCACAGCTTGGAAGGTGCTTTTGGGGCCACAGAGTTTGCATGCTTTCAGTCTTGGTCTTATTTTAAAATACTACCTTTCTCTTTCCTTTCTAGGAGATAGTCTTTTAGTCTTTGTTCAGCGAATTAAAACCCTATCATTACTGCCAAGCATCAGGTTTTGGTTTTGTTCTAATTCCCCTTTAGCTGCCATCTCAGCCTCATCCCGGCCAGGAGAGCCATGTGCTCGCAAGGCAGGGCAGAGGTTCCTGGGTGCCAGCCTGCCTCAGAGTTCCCACCAGCCCATAGCAACGATGTGGCTGAATGATTGGCAACCGCCCTTTCTGGGGAAGACTTGTCTGCATGGAGAGGTGGTTCTTCCTGCCTTTCAGTCATGAAATGTTCTCTTGTATGCAGTAATGATGACAGAAGATGATAGGGGTTTGTTTGTGTGGTTCTTTCAGAGTCTTCAGTTGGCATAAGAAACTTAGCTACCTGGATTGGTTTTGGAATTGGGAAGCTGGAGCGACTCTCCTGGACTTGTGGGCTGGGGGGCTGCTGCTCTGTGACTCAGCGGTGACTCACGTCTCTCTGGCTCGGTGGTCTCCGAAGAGTATCCCAGGCTTGTGAGACGATCGTGATAGTGTCTTCCACCCGGGGCCTAGGCTTCCCTGGAGCCCGGCAGCTCCTCACCAGTGGGATTCCTACCTGTTCCTGCGGCGCCATCCCTGCCAGGCTTTCCTCCCTTCCTGAGGCCTCTGCCTGCCATCCACCCCCAGGACCCTCGCCTGTGGCTGCTGTCCTGGCTCTGGAATACGTGGTAATAAGGTTTGGCCTTACCTTCTCACATCCTGGGTCCATAATTTTTATTAATCATCCTCTGGGCTCATTTACTTGGGAAATGTGTCTTCCTTTTTAGGGGCTGTCTCCTTCCTCTGGACAGCTGAGCGTTCATTGTTTGTAGAGTGTAGTGTCAAGCTTTATGGGCAATAGGCGGCTGACAACCCACCTCAGTGCTTCTCAGACTCTTATACATGTGTGAGTCCCTCAGGGTTAAAATACAGGTTCTGCTTCCAAGGTCTGGAGTGAGACCTGAGCTTCTGCATTTCCCGTGAGAACCATGGAGGGGGTGGTACAGGGCAGGGGGCAGAGTCTGGAGGTAAGTCTAGTTTTCAAAATAATGAACCATAATCTTAAATCGTTACTCCCCTTCCTGGAGCAGCGCTCACCTGCTTCTGCCCAGTGGCACTCGTGGTCTCGGCCTAGCTCAGCACTCTTGGCCCGACTGCCAGGCCTGGCCCTTCTGGTGGGACCCTGCCCTTGGCCTTTCCTGGAGCCAGGTTGCACATCCAGTTGCAGGTCCTCAAGGTCATCCGGGCTTCAAGATAGGAGTAATGGGAGGGTTATAGGCCCAGTGGGGGACAGGGCCCACAGCTGCTCTGGAGAAGTAAGGTTTGCAGGCCACAGGGCCTGGTGTGGTGTGGGGCTTCCTGCCAGGCCACCCCACCCAGCAGCACTGTTCTGCCTTTTCTGCCTGGTGCTGAGTTATCCAGGAGCCTCCATACCTCTCAGATGGGAGTGCATGGAAGGGAAGATGCTCAGAGCCCAGGTGGACTTGGCCCAGGTGGGCAGCACAGGGTCTTCAGTAGGGCCCACAGGGATTTCAGGACAGATTCGGGGAAGTGGGGCTGGGGTGGTCTCTGCCTCCACAACTGTTCACCAGGTAAGCCGGTGGGTAGGCAACAGGGCTGGCCCAAGGGGCAGAGAAGGAAGCCAACTCCAGATCTCCAGTCACCATGGCTCCAAGGCACTGAGTGGACCCCAGTGTTTATTTCATAGAAGCCGAGTCGGAGGTGGGGCTGGGCTCCTGGCATTCACGAGCCTGCTGCTTTCCAGGAGGACGGTCCGGGAGAAGAGCCAGGAGTTGCTGGCCAGCGTCCAGGTCTGGGCTATATTACATGGCTGGGCTTGCCTGGAGCACCAAGCCCTACCTGCCACCAGCTCTTGCCTGGAGGGACAGGGCAGAGAGGTCATGAGGCCAGGGGTGTTCCCAAAGGTGCAGCAGGCACATCCTGGGCCCCCAAAGCAGGCAGTGTGATGGGGCCCCACCTTGTCGCTCCTAGCTGGAAGCTTCTCAGTGCCCGTGGGGTGGTGGAGGAGCTGAGCTGACCGTGCACACTTAGTCCAGGAGAGTACAGCCCTGGGGAGGCCTTGCTGTAATAGGCACACAGCCTGTGGTGGAAGAGATGAGGGTGGAGGGCAGGCCGAGGCCCTCCCGACTTCGTGTGGGGGCAGCACTGCCGGGAGTCCCCACTCTGCCAGCTGTTTGCTCTCAGGACCTTGGGCAAGTTGCATAGCCCCCGGAACCTTGTCTTATCTGAGTGCAGGTGGATATAACACCTCAGAGTCCTCCTCACAGGCGGGCTGCCATCTGCCAGGGGGCGCAGAATGGTGTAGGGCGAGTCCTGGCCTTGCAAGTAGTGAAGGGAGAGGGGCTCTTAGAAGCCTTTTTGGAATGGGAAAGGCTTCATAGAGGAGTCCCCACTGAAGTGGGGGGCTCCAGGCCATACATACAGGCGTTCTAGTGTCTGGCTGGGGTGGGGGTCTCGTTGGTGGGTTGGGGCTGGGTCTTGGGCTCTCTTGGAACCTGGGCTGTTTGTACCTTCCGCGTTGTCTCCACTCTGCCCTTGAGCAGCTCTCCTATAACTAGGGAGTGGCCGGGCCTTCAGGGAAGAGGCAGTGCTTGCACCTGTTAGGAGCACCAGGTGACCAGCAGGGCCAGCTGGGACCGGGCGATGCGCACAGCAGACTCAGGCGTGGGGGCAGCAGCCAGTGTGTCTGGGCCCCTCTCTGACTTAGATGTGCTTTAACCCTTTGGGTGTGGAGGCTGCACCATGGCTGGGCCCTGCCCCGCACTGCCTCTCTGCCTGGCATAGCTGGTGCCTCCCGCCTGGCAGTGGAGCTCTGGCTGGGCGATGGGCAGCCCCCCGCATCAGCTGGAAGGCTCTTGAGTTGACAGCATTCTTCATGGGGATACCGCTCATGAGGGTCAGGAGTACAAGCTGTGAAACCACATCCTGAGTCTGGCCCCCATAGGTGGGCCTGGAGGTGGGTGTGGGTGCTCCTCTGTATTCAGGCGGGATGGATTGCCTGCCACCAGGGCCTGGGTGGGCAGGGCTGCTAGCCAGGCCTCCAGAGGGCAACCGCTTGGAGGCCGAGTGACTGGAGCAGTTCTGTGTGCATGGAGTTCCTTGAGCCCAGGCTCTGGGCATGGTGGGTGTTCCGTGCCGAGTTGGGGCAGCTCACATCAGATGGGCAGCTGGGGTCATTCCCCTGGGCTTTCTGCTTAAGCAAGGATCCCTTTCATCTTAAGACCTCTTCTCGTGGCCTCTGGAGGGTGCCGGGCCGGCACACACTCTCCTGCCGTGTGTGTGCTAGGAAGAGAGGCCTGGAGACGGCCCTGTCCTAGCCTCCCCTAGCCTCCCGTGAGCTCTGAGCCCCTGAGGCCATGCTGACTGCCTGGAACAGGTAGGGCCTCGCCCCCTGGGGTCATGGGGGAGTGCTGTTGGGGTGCTGTTCCGCAGGTCAGTTGGCCGTGGCCTTCTGGCTGGTGTGGGAGGGGACAGGGGACCTGCAGGTGTCCTTGACTTGGGGCTTTGCCTGCCTGCTGGAGGGCCATGGGGGCTGCCCAGCTAGAGACGAGCTGGGAGGTGCAGAGATCTGCTCTCAGCGTGGCCACTCTGCACTCTCAAGCTGCTTCGCGTGTGCCCGCAAGCTTGTGAGGCTGAACTGGCACCATCCAGCACTGGGGAGTGGGGCTTTGCCCGTGGCCACAGACATGTCCCCTCTATGCTTTGGCCTGGGGCCCTCCTGCCTTGTGGAGGAGTTGAGAGGTGGAAGGTGAGCGGTCCGGTGGGTGTGAAGATGAGAGAGTCTCCGCCTTAGCACTTGGAGAATGCATACATGGCTCCTGTGGGCCCTGGAGCCTACTGGGCAAGGTGTAGGGCACTGGCCGGGAGAATTAGCTGGTGAGAAGCTGCTGGGACAGGCATGTTCTGTGAAAGCCCCTCCTCTTTGTTCGGAGGGACTTTTTCCCGTCATATGAAGTAAAACTTAGATACGACCATATGACAGGTGCCCAATCTCAGATGGCCCCTTCAGTTTTGACCAGTGAGTGCGTTTGTCTACCTTGACCCAAACTCCACCTGAGCCGGAGGGCCGCTTTCTTGCCAGAGTTCCTCGTGCAGCTTCCCTAAGAAGGCTCACCTCACCCTCCACAGGCGGTTCTGCTTTTGTTTCTACCACAGATACTTCCGCCTGCTCTGGATCTTGTATCAGTGGGATCATGAGATCTATATTCTTTTGGGGGTAAGGTTCCCTTCACTCAGGATAATAATTTTGAGGGCTCTCTATGCTCGTGCTTGAGTTCTGCTCTTCGGTTTTTCTGTTTAGGATTTTAAAAGTAATATTTGAAAATTTTTTGAATATTATAGAAATGAACATACAGAAACTAGTTTTCCTGTAATTCCATCCCCCAGAGATACTCTGTTTACTGATTGTGTGTGTGCCTCCAGGGTGTTTCTTAGTCGAGGAGGGTGGACCGGGAGGGAGTAGGGAGCAGTGGGGGCGGGGGGTTCCGGCTCCACTGCAGGGGCCTGGCCTTCCCTGGGGCGTGGGCCTTGAGCGTCTGGAGCCCCTGGCCCTGGACCTATCTGAAGAGTGTGGGTGGGTGGGGTGCCTCTGGCTTTTCCGTGGCAGGGTCCTGGAGGGGAAGGAAAGGACTCAGCCAGGACCTGTCCCAGCTGGAGGTGTGTGTATCACCCTCGTTGGGTGGGTGTTGACTGTATTGTAAACAAGGATCTGGGAAGGTGAGTCAGGTCTTGCAGCCAGGTCTCTCTCTTCCCTGCCCCACACCGTGTGTTCACACAGGGGCAGAACTGGCCCCCCAGGGACTGCGTTCCCGCCCTTCTCTGCCAGGGTCTGCCCAGCCAGGGACACCCACCCATCCACCCGCCTATGAAGGGCCAGGTCTCGGCCTTCGAGGTGTATCTGACTAGCTTTATAGCTGCTCGTCCTCGGCTTCCTGGAGCCGGTGCTCTGGGCAGGCAGCAGGCCTGAGCTGGCTGTGGGATCCTTGAGGCTGATAGGCTTGCTGGCAGGGGGCTGCTGGGTGCCAGGAACGGGTGCCAGACAGCATCCTCATTTCAGCCTGTGGTGGGCTTCTGCCAGGGCTGAGTACCAGCTCCCATATCCCAGTGGGGCATTATGCTGCCAGCTTGCTGGGTCAGCCCCCCACAGCCAAGTTTCTAGTTGCCTGGCACCCCCTAGGCTGTGGCCTTTCCAGATAGGCACTTGCTGCCCCCATACCTGGCGTTGAGCGGTAGGACAGAGGTCTCTGGCTGTCCTCATTTTACTGGGAAGAGAAGAGGAATTCTTTGAAGGGGTTCTGGCCCTGCAGCAGGGGGCACCCCCTCACCTGTAGTGAGGCTGCATTGTCACAGGCTGGTGGCCCTCGAGTGGATGGGGGGCAGGGTGGCATTGGGCTGGATGAGGGCTCCAGCAGGCTGCTGTGCTGTGGCCCTCTTGCCCGCAAGTGACAAGTACAGTGAGGTCTGCTCTGCCCTGTCCTGCTGAGCACTGCCTTCGGGGTCGGGTTCAAGGAGAGCCACATCCGATGCAGCCCTGGAGACCTTGGTCATCCCTCGGCCTCCCCTGACTGGGGAAGCGCCTGGCAGGCTGGGCCGGCGGGCACCCACGGAGGGCCCCTGAGTCCTGTTCTGCAGTTCGCTCCCTGCACGGGGTCCAGGAGCTGATGGCCTGATCTCTGATGAGGGCGAGCCATCCCTAGGGGCGGGGTCTGGCCTGGGCAGTGCCTGGTTGCCCTGATGAGGAGTAGGCAGGGTGGCACAGGGCTGGGCGGCGGATGCCTGGTCTGCGCCAGTGCATCACTGTGACTTACTGCCTGTCCCTCCAGGCTGCTCTCAAAAGCGTTGTGGTGGTCTCTCCCTCTTCCTAAGGCTGGGCTTGGTTCTGCCGCATTGGCCATCTCTGGCCTCCCCCAGCAGAGAAGCATGGACCCTGCGCACAGGCAAGGGGCCCAGGTCGCCCTCATTCAACGTGGGTGCTCTCTGGCCACGGGACCCACAGAGCTGGTTCTGCTGCCCTCTGGGCCATTGGTGGGATCCTAGACCAACTGTGCGCCCTCTCCCCACCACTGCAGCCATCCCATGAGAGGGGAGCTGTGCTTGGGGCCACAGAGACAGCTGGCAGGCTGGAGCTGAGGCCTCCCAGCCACCCCGCACCCCGGGTCTGGTCACATTCCTGAGGGACCTGCTGAGCCTCCCTGGCCCTGGAGGTGGGGGAAGGGCAGGCAGGGATGGGCTCGAGGCGGGCTGCCTCCCCCACCCTGGCTCCATTCCAAGGAGCCCAGGCCTGCCAGAACGGGGTGCAAGGAGCCAGAACCTCAGGACCCCCTCCCGTGGGACCCGCAGCTCTGGCAGGGGCAGGGGAGCCTTCCACATCTGGTGGCAGCTGCCAGCGGCTTTGGCGGGCTGGTATTGAAAGGCAGAGCCTGCAAACACTCCTGCGAGGGGAGCCATGTGGTCAGGCTGGGCTGGGCAGGAGGGGGCTGGGCCCTCTGGGCAGGGAGGGGGCGAGAGCAGATCTGGAAGGGAAGGAGGCAGGAGAGCCAGAGGCGGTTGAGACTGGTTCTTATAAATAGCCCGCTGCACCAGTGCCTCCAATTTTGACCTTTTGTTATGTAAATGTGGCCAGCCTAGGAAGGGCCTTGCCCAGGCCTCCTGCCACCACACCCGCAGCCAGGAATTGTGTGCCTGCCACCATCTTCCCCAGGTGGTCCTTGGAGTACCCTAAATCTCCAAGGAGGGTGCAGCCCTGCCAAGCTCCCCAGACCTAAGACCTTCCCTACCACTGGGCCTGACTGCTGGGCACTGTTGCTTGCCCAGCTGCCCATGGCATCCCAGCCAGAGGGAACCCAGACCTTCCTGGGAGCAAGGATACCAGGGCCACCAGGCACCTTCCTTGGCCCTTCCCTCATGCTGATGCCTGTCTGGGTGACCATGTCCCTCTTTTCCTCCCCAGGTGACCAGGCATTGATGCACCCCCAGGGAGGCCACGCGCTCAAGGAGGCTGACCCCCGCTGGCTGCTGCTCACATGGTTTCTGGGCCCCTGGCACTCCGGTAGGCCGAGGAGGGGGGAGCTGGCAGGGCCTGAGGCGGGAGGGAGGACTCCTACCTGCCCCTTCCTGGGCTTCCTGGCAGCCCGCACAGCCCTGCAGCTCTCTGGCCTCTGTCCTTTGTGTGCATGCGGCACCGCATGAAGGGGAGGCGGGGCTGCTGTGGCCTCACAGGCTGTTGGAGGACAGGACCTCCTGCCCTCAGCCTGTCCCCTTTCCAGGCTTGGCGCACCAGGCATTCTGGGTGCTGGTAGAGCTGATGCTGCCTTTCTCCCAGGGCTGGGTATCCTAGCCAGTATGGAAGCCATGCCTTTGCCTCTTTGTTCCTGCCTGGCTGGCAGTGGGGAACAGGTGGGGGCACAGGGTTGGTTCCCGTGCGACTTGGACCGCAACCTCTGAGCGCTGGCTGAGCAGCCTAGCAATGCCGGGCTGGCCAGCAGGCGTTTTCTTCCTCCTGCCATCAGGCTCTGAGTAGTTTGAAACTGTGTCCACTTACGTGTGTTCACAATGAGCTCTGAACTCCTTTGGGTGCACATGATTGTTAGGATTTCTCTCTGTGCTAGTGAACAAGGGCAGGTGTGCAGCAGGTGGGAGTGTTTGTGGCATGAGAAGACAGGATGAGAGCAATCTCTGCAGGTTCTACCCCGAGGGAGGCAGAGCTGGGCGTGCTGTAGGAGCAGCGGTGTCCCAGGTGGGGCGACGCTCAGCGGTCACTTGCAGGGACTGGGCCGGAGCTGAAGTGCGCAAAGGCACCCTTGGCAGCTGAGTGGTAGAGTTGCCTGTGGGAAGTGCACATTCTGAGGTGCTGGAGGTTTGGGGGCCGTGGTCATGTGCTTTGGGCGCTGCTGCTCAGTGGGGTGAGTGTGTGCTCAGGGTCCCCTACTCCAGGAGACCCATGTGCACACAACCTGCTGCAGGGTTCCTGTCGGGGCAAGAGGCCTTGGCGTATTTATTATTTAATGACTTCATTAGTGTCTATGACAGTCCAGCAAAGCCAGCTGGCTGCCTGCCTTAGCGTCCAGGTGGTGCCAGGGCTTGGCCAGGCCACCTATTCCACTCAGGACCTAGAGACCCAGGCCAGGGAAGTGCTTAGTGCCCATCCAGGAGCAAGGGCCTTGTGAGGTGGGGCAGGCACTGGCAAGGGATGTGGACTGGGCTGCAGCGTCTGGGAGGCAGGAATGTGACTTTGGCAAATCCAAAGTCTTGGAAAGCCTCGAGGGCTGATTGCTGGGCTACCTGTGAGCAGAGGTCACAGGCCAGAGGCCGCATGTTTGATTTGGTCCATGTGACATTAAAAGAAAAAAAACCCTTGTTTAGCATTGGGAGATTCACCTGGAAACCTGGATTTCTAGCTTGTCCTGGATGTTGTGAAGCTGCATGGCCACATGGGAAGTCTCTACCCCTTCCAGAACCTCACAGTCTCCTGCTGGTTGTTGTTGGGTCTCCTGTGGGCATGTGGGTGACTTCCTTTAGCATGGAAAGGAGCCAGATTCAATCCCCGTTCCTCTCCTTAGTACCAAGTGACCTTTGTTGTCCTCTGCTTCCGTGTCCTCAACCCAGCACGTGGGCCAGCACTGCCTGAGGCCTCTTTGAGTTGTGTGAGCTCCCTCCCTGGACTATGCCTGGGGAGGCCCCCTCATTGCCACCTCGGTCCTTTCTTGTCCTGGGGCCCTCGCGTGAGGGTCCCAATCCACTAATGTGTGTGTGTGTGCCTGTTCTTGCCTGCAGGTGGTGTGCGTGGGCAGGGCGTGGGGACATGGGGCCCGACATGGAGCTGCCCAGCCACTCGAAGCAGCTCCTGCTGCAGCTGAACCAGCAGAGGACGAAGGGCTTCCTGTGTGACGTCGTCATCATGGTGGAGAACTCCATATTCCGGGCCCATAAGAATGTCCTGGCCGCTAGCAGCATCTACTTCAAGTCCCTGGTTCTGCACGACAACCTCATCAGCCTGGACACGGACATGGTCAGCTCCACAGTATTCCAGCAGGTCCTGGACTTCATCTACACAGGCAAGCTGCTGCCCAGCGGCCAACCAGCTGAGCCCAACTTCAGCACTCTCCTCACTGCTGCCAGCTACCTCCAGCTGCCCGAGTTGGCAGCCCTCTGCCGCCGCAAACTCAAACGAGCTGGCAAGCCCTTTGGCTCTGGGAGGGTGGGTGCTGCTGGCATGGGGCGGCCCCCCCGCAGCCAGCGGCTGTCCACGGCCTCCGTCATCCAGGCTCGGTATTCAGGGCTTGTAGACGGGCGCCAGGGGGCCCACACTTCCCAGGAGCCCCCCCAGGCCAAAGGCTCTGATGACGAGCTCTTCCTCGGCAGCTCTACCCAAGAGAGTGCGCGTGGCCTGGGCCGGGCCATCTGCCCCACCGGAGGGGAGGCCAGCCTGGGCGGGTGCAGCACCAGTGGGAGCAGCGGGGGCTGTGAGCAAGAGCTGGGCCTGGACCTGTCCAAGAAGAGCCCCCCGCTGCCCCCTGCCACCCCCGGAGCCCCCCTCAGCCCTGACGACCCAGCCCGGCTGAGTGACAGTCAGCTCGGGTCACCCCTCTCGGCCTCCGCCCCTCCTGTTGCCAGCAGTGCCTCTTATGCCGAGCTTGGGGGCACCCCCGCTGAGCCTATGGATCTGGAGGGGGCTGAGGACAACCACCTGAGCCTGCTGGAGGGGCCTGGCGGGCAACCCCGGAAGAGCCTCCGGCACTCAGCCCGCAAGAAGGACTGGAGCAAGAAGGAGCCCTTGGCGGGTTCCCCCTTTGAGCAGAGAGAAGTGGGGCCCAAGAGCTCCTGCCCCGGGGAGGAGGGTGAGGGGCTTGGGGACAGGGTTCCCAATGGCATTCTAGCCAGCAGTGTTGCAGGGGGCGGCCCCAGTGGGCCCTACGGGGAGCCCCCGTACCCCTGCAAGGAGGAGGAGGAGAACGGCAAGGACGGGAGTGAGGACAGCGGGCAGAGTGGGAGTGAGGGGGGCAGCGGCCACACTGGCGCCCACTACATGTACCGGCAGGAGGGCTACGAGACGGTCTCCTACGGGGACAACCTGTACGTGTGCATCCCCTGCGCCAAGGGCTTCCCCAGCTCCGAGCAGCTCAATGCCCATGTGGAGACGCACACGGAGGAGGAGCTCTTCATCAAGGAGGAGGGCGCCTACGAGACAGGCAGCGGGGGCGCCGAGGAGGAGGCTGAGGACCTGTCAGCGCCCAGCACGGCCTATCCAGCTGAGCCCCGGCCCTTCAAGTGCTCCGTCTGCGAGAAGAGCTACAAGGACCCGGCCACGCTGAGGCAGCACGAGAAGACGCACTGGCTGACGCGGCCCTTCCCCTGCAACATCTGTGGGAAAATGTTCACGCAGCGTGGCACCATGACACGCCACATGCGCAGCCACCTGGGCCTGAAGCCCTTTGCCTGTGACGAGTGTGGTATGCGCTTCACCCGCCAGTACCGCCTCACGGAGCACATGCGTGTGCACTCGGGCGAGAAGCCCTACGAGTGCCAGCTCTGCGGGGGCAAGTTCACGCAGCAGCGCAACCTCATCAGCCACCTGCGCATGCACACCTCCCCCTCCTAGAAGCCAAAGACCCTTCTCCCTGGCCCGAGGGGCCCTGCGTAGACTCGGCCTCAGGAGTCAACATGGAAGCAGAAGTGAGACCGGGCGGGCCAGGACCTCCAGGTCCAGTAGGGGTGGCTCCTGGCGGCACTCTGGCCAGCCCCCCACACCCAGAGCTTTAATCCACAGTCTGTACCAAGGGAAGAGAGGAGGGGGCTGCCGCTGGTGTGCCCCAGCTCCTGAGAGGGCTGCACAGGCCTGAGGGAGTGGGTCTGGGTGCTTGTCTGGGCCCGGCCCCTCTCCTGCAGGCCGGGTCTGAGCAGGAGAAGGCAGCTCCCTCTGCGCCAGGGCCGATGCCTGTGTGTGCAGGCCACCCTGGCTTCGGGAGCCGTGCCGGAGCAGCGGGACCGAGCCCTCCTTCCCTGAGCCAGGGGCCGCTGTTCTCTGGCACTGGGACAGCCAGGGGCCCCTCTGCCTACCTCTCCACAGCTGAAGAGCCCTCTGGGCCCGCGTTGCTGTTATTCCTACTGATGTGTTCCTTTTTTCTTTTCAAATTTTGTTTTTTAAACCAAAACCAACAAGAGTTTATTTTCCTCTGGCCCCCTTGGGGCTGAGCCTGGGTCTGCAGACTGAATGTAGGGGGCCACTGCCCCTCCCCGCCCTCCAGGCCCCAGAAGCCCTTCTTGGCCAAAGGCTTCCCTGGGCCCCGAGCCCTGCCTCGGCTGCCTCAGGAGAGAGAGTGCTTTTCCTATAGTTTCCGAGGAATATTGTTTAGAGGTACTTCTTTTTTATTGAGAGAAAACCCAGTGTAACGTTTATGCGAATGTTTGAACTGGAAGGTCTGGGGTTCGTGGGGGGTGGGGGGCGCTGGATTTGACGCCAGGCTGTCGGTGCCCCTGGCTCCTGTGCGTTGTGTGTGTGGTGTGCGCGGTGCGCCTGGGCAGCTCCTGTGCTTCCCCCTTCCTTCCCCATCAAGGCGGAGAGATGCGGGCCTTTTGCTACCTCTTCAGTTCCTGAGAACAGTATGTTGGTGACTGGCAGTTGAGGCTATAACACTTGTTTTTGTCCTGTTAGTGCACAAAGGAAGACGTGAATTTGAGTGAGGCGGGCCTGGGCTGGCCTGGGAGGTCCTCAGCTTCCCTGAGACCCAGCTGTGGCCCAAGATGCTTTCAGAGGGGGGCTCCTGCCACTGCAGTCTTGGGACTTGCCTGTGTGTCTTCTCCATGAGCGTGCAGCTGCTGTGTCCACTCTGCAGGTGTTCTGGGTATACTGCTGAGCGTCGGGCAGCTCCAGCGTGTCTCTGATCTGGGTCCAGGTGAGCGGGTGCTCCAGTCCCACAGGAGCTCCCAGGCTGGGCCAGGCCTGGGCACCTGGGAGGCAGGAGGCACACTACAGGATCAAGGTCCTTGCAGCTTCCTGCCAGGGCCAGGATGAGGCGGAAGTGAGCCCCCCCTCATCCTGTCCCCTGGGCCTGTGAGTGCAGAAGTTTGGGAGAGCAGCCCCTGCTCAGCCAGTGCAGAGGCCTGAGGGGGGCGCTGACCAAAGCACTGTGTCCCCCTGAGGGGCGGGGTGGGGGCCCTGCCCTGTGTGGAGTCCCACCCTTGCCCTCTCACCTTGGGCTTTCTCCACCAGCCTCAGATACCTCCCTGGGCTGGAAGCCAGGCTCCCAAGGCCAGGCCAAGGTCGCCATGGTCAGCCCCGCTGTCCTTGGCCCCCTGGAGCCACAGGGCTGGGCAAGTGGCTTTTGCTTTGTGCTCTTTCTTCCTTTTATTTCTACTTTTAAGTTCAGACCAAAAAATTCTGGAGTCATCCCCTAGCTCCACCCACCCCGCCCCTTCAGAGGCCGTCCCGCTGAAAACAGCCTGAGTTTAGGGACCCTAGTGGTGAAGGGCATGCTTTGCAAGTCAGGGAGTTCCCACCCAAGGCTGCCCTGCTGGCCCTTCCCTTCGGGTGGGAAACGGGGATCTGGACCCCGGGTCTCGTGTTCCAGCCGGCCAGTCTGAGAATCTGGCTGGGGGAGACCCCTGGGCTCCTTCCTCCACCCAGTGAGGGTCAGGCCCTTTCCGGGCCCCTCTGCTCTCCTGACCCCACTCCATCAGCACTTAAGCCACACGACACAAAGTCTGTACCGCACGGAAGTGCGTGGCCTCTCAGGCCGTGGGCAGCCACATCAGTGAGGTGACCCGTGAAAGTAGGTGATTCATTTGCAGAGCTTCAGGGACTGGGCGCAGAGGCCCCTCACTCGACGATGTCCGTGCGACGTAGTATTGTGCCCACCTGAGTATTGTATCGAGCCTTTTCTGTATCTACCAAGAAAGCAAAACACTAGTTTCCTATTTAAGATTTTAAGGGTTTGTGGGACGGGGTGGGATTAACACAACACTTGGTTTGGTTTTGTTTTCTTTTTCCTTTGATTTCATGTGAAAAGTGTGTGTGCTTGTGAGTATGCGTGGAGATGTGTTAGGAACCTCCCAAGGAAATTAGGCCGTTGGAGGCCAAGGGCGGCTTACAGTTCTCTGCTTTAGTCACTTATTCCTGAATGTTTCGGAGAAACAGGAAACAGAGAAAATAGCAGATGTCATGTAGGAAAGAGAGGAGAAAAACAAAAAAGAAAAAAAAGCTCATATCCAAATTCATAAAACCTATTTTTTAAACCAAAGCACATTTTGAATGAGTATGGAACCTCAATGGGCTCAGAAAAAAGATACTAATATATTTATCTCATTGTTTACATAAACTTTTACAGTTTCAGACCTCAGCAGCTGTAAGGCCAGTTCCAGTGAGTCCCCGCCTTCCCCTGGAGGCCCTTCAGAGTCAGCCCTGGAAGGGCTCACGGGCAGAGAGGCGGGCGTGGAGCCCCCTGGACTCACCTGAGCCCTCCTCCCCAGCCCCGGGCCCTCTGAGCCCAGCTGGCACCAAAGAGCTTGGGCAGTGCTGACCAGCTCCCGGGCCTGGCCGGACTGTGGTGGTCCTGGCCAGCTGGCACAGCAGGGGCTGGCTGTCAGCTCTGGCCACAGGACCTGAGTCTGGGCTTGGGCCCCGGGGTGTAACTTCAGGGGCTGCTTCCCCTGCTCCTCTGCTCCGGACCCTGGTGGGGGGGGAGGGGGGTTGATGTGAGGGTCCCTCTCAAGCCAAAAAGTCGGGACCTTTGCACAGCTCTGTTGACTCTAGTGGGTCCCTTACCCCAGGGGCTCCCCACCCTGACCCCCAGCAGTGGGAGGGGCTCACTGGGCTGGTCCTTACCAACACAGACGGTGCAAACACTCTGAACAGTGTTGTTTTTGTATCAATATATTTGTGCAGTGATGAATGTATTTATTTCTCAGACTTGGGGTGAGTGAGTGGCAGGCCCCTTTGCCACCGCGCGCTCCCGCCAGACCGAGCCACCGCAAGGGCTCCTCTAGGATTGCAAAAAAGGTGACAAAGAAAAGACAAACTTTTAAGCAAATAAGAATCTCAGAGACTCGCAGCATAGCCATACACCTCAGCCTGTGAAATGAACAATCCGGACCCAGACTGACTTTCTGAGCTTCATGCAGCCACGTGTCTCCGTGTGTCTCCCTGGGCTGCCGGGCTGCTCACCCTGCCCCATCAGTATTCACTGGACTCGGCCGAGTGCAGGAGTGCGATCTGGGCTGGGCTGCTGGGCACACACATCCCAGCGGCCCTCCCCAGGCGTCCTGAGTTGAGGCGAGCCCTGGGCAGCCACAAAGGCAGGGCTCAGGGAAGAGGCATTTGCGTCTGCCTTGTACCCTCTGCTTGGGGCCAAAGCAGAGGCTCCAGGCCATAGGAAAATAGATCAGGGGTCTCAGCCCTGCCACGCACCCCCCTCCAAGGGACCAAGGCCCTGGCTCCCCAGAGGCCTGTTGGGGCAGACGTTCCGGAACCTGTGACTCCAGTGGCTGGAGTGGGGCTGGAGAGGGGCCTGGCCAGGCCTCAGTCTGACATTCCAGATCAGGGTGGGCGTGCACGGTGGGAACTGTGGCTGCCCAGGACCCCCTTCATAGGACCCCCTGGCTTCAGTCAACTCACTTTAATTTTCTACCGGGAACCCCTCCCCCTACCTCACTATTTATTGCTGTAATTTATTGACCTCAAAAATGCTGCATAACAGACCTCAGTCAGGGCAGGGAGGATCCCCAGGGCTCCCCCCCTCCACTTGGCGGGGCCCTGTGGGGCCAGGTGCTGAGGGGAACCTCTCTGTACCCCACCCATTACTTTCCCCTTCCCCCCTTGGGGGACCCAGGTTGGGCACTGGCCCATTCGCAAATACCTCGAGGGGGAGGGGCAGGGATGGGGTTATAGCTGTTTTGTTTATGGGAACTGCAAGAGGAGGGATCATGTCCTGTTTTACGCCCTTCCCAGAAAGGGGGAGGGACACCGTGATCGCACTCCTGTACCGGCCACCGCCGCTGTCCGTCATCACATTGACTTCCCCTCCCTTGAGAGAGGATAAATTCAGGTCAGAGCTGCAGATGTGCAGCCCTCAAGTGTCAGAAAAGCAATTCACCGACAACTGATCTCCATTCAGAAGCGTGCAGTCTTAATGTACAGTGATGAGAAACTGTTATTTTATGATCTTTTCATTAAAAGCTTTGTTGAAAACTGTCTTGCATGGGCCCTCTGTGTTCTGTGACTGTTCTCTCTTCCTAAATGACAAACACTTTGCCTGTGACGAGTGTGGTATGCGCTTCACCCGCCAGTACCGCCTCACGGAGCACATGCGTGTGCACTCGGGCGAGAAGCCCTACGAGTGCCAGCTCTGCGGGGGCAAGTTCACGCAGCAGCGCAACCTCATCAGCCACCTGCGCATGCACACCTCCCCCTCCTAGAAGCCAAAGACCCTTCTCCCTGGCCCGAGGGGCCCTGCGTAGACTCGGCCTCAGGAGTCAACATGGAAGCAGAAGTGAGACCGGGCGGGCCAGGACCTCCAGGTCCAGTAGGGGTGGCTCCTGGCGGCACTCTGGCCAGCCCCCCACACCCAGAGCTTTAATCCACAGTCTGTACCAAGGGAAGAGAGGAGGGGGCTGCCGCTGGTGTGCCCCAGCTCCTGAGAGGGCTGCACAGGCCTGAGGGAGTGGGTCTGGGTGCTTGTCTGGGCCCGGCCCCTCTCCTGCAGGCCGGGTCTGAGCAGGAGAAGGCAGCTCCCTCTGCGCCAGGGCCGATGCCTGTGTGTGCAGGCCACCCTGGCTTCGGGAGCCGTGCCGGAGCAGCGGGACCGAGCCCTCCTTCCCTGAGCCAGGGGCCGCTGTTCTCTGGCACTGGGACAGCCAGGGGCCCCTCTGCCTACCTCTCCACAGCTGAAGAGCCCTCTGGGCCCGCGTTGCTGTTATTCCTACTGATGTGTTCCTTTTTTCTTTTCAAATTTTGTTTTTTAAACCAAAACCAACAAGAGTTTATTTTCCTCTGGCCCCCTTGGGGCTGAGCCTGGGTCTGCAGACTGAATGTAGGGGGCCACTGCCCCTCCCCGCCCTCCAGGCCCCAGAAGCCCTTCTTGGCCAAAGGCTTCCCTGGGCCCCGAGCCCTGCCTCGGCTGCCTCAGGAGAGAGAGTGCTTTTCCTATAGTTTCCGAGGAATATTGTTTAGAGGTACTTCTTTTTTATTGAGAGAAAACCCAGTGTAACGTTTATGCGAATGTTTGAACTGGAAGGTCTGGGGTTCGTGGGGGGTGGGGGGCGCTGGATTTGACGCCAGGCTGTCGGTGCCCCTGGCTCCTGTGCGTTGTGTGTGTGGTGTGCGCGGTGCGCCTGGGCAGCTCCTGTGCTTCCCCCTTCCTTCCCCATCAAGGCGGAGAGATGCGGGCCTTTTGCTACCTCTTCAGTTCCTGAGAACAGTATGTTGGTGACTGGCAGTTGAGGCTATAACACTTGTTTTTGTCCTGTTAGTGCACAAAGGAAGACGTGAATTTGAGTGAGGCGGGCCTGGGCTGGCCTGGGAGGTCCTCAGCTTCCCTGAGACCCAGCTGTGGCCCAAGATGCTTTCAGAGGGGGGCTCCTGCCACTGCAGTCTTGGGACTTGCCTGTGTGTCTTCTCCATGAGCGTGCAGCTGCTGTGTCCACTCTGCAGGTGTTCTGGGTATACTGCTGAGCGTCGGGCAGCTCCAGCGTGTCTCTGATCTGGGTCCAGGTGAGCGGGTGCTCCAGTCCCACAGGAGCTCCCAGGCTGGGCCAGGCCTGGGCACCTGGGAGGCAGGAGGCACACTACAGGATCAAGGTCCTTGCAGCTTCCTGCCAGGGCCAGGATGAGGCGGAAGTGAGCCCCCCCTCATCCTGTCCCCTGGGCCTGTGAGTGCAGAAGTTTGGGAGAGCAGCCCCTGCTCAGCCAGTGCAGAGGCCTGAGGGGGGCGCTGACCAAAGCACTGTGTCCCCCTGAGGGGCGGGGTGGGGGCCCTGCCCTGTGTGGAGTCCCACCCTTGCCCTCTCACCTTGGGCTTTCTCCACCAGCCTCAGATACCTCCCTGGGCTGGAAGCCAGGCTCCCAAGGCCAGGCCAAGGTCGCCATGGTCAGCCCCGCTGTCCTTGGCCCCCTGGAGCCACAGGGCTGGGCAAGTGGCTTTTGCTTTGTGCTCTTTCTTCCTTTTATTTCTACTTTTAAGTTCAGACCAAAAAATTCTGGAGTCATCCCCTAGCTCCACCCACCCCGCCCCTTCAGAGGCCGTCCCGCTGAAAACAGCCTGAGTTTAGGGACCCTAGTGGTGAAGGGCATGCTTTGCAAGTCAGGGAGTTCCCACCCAAGGCTGCCCTGCTGGCCCTTCCCTTCGGGTGGGAAACGGGGATCTGGACCCCGGGTCTCGTGTTCCAGCCGGCCAGTCTGAGAATCTGGCTGGGGGAGACCCCTGGGCTCCTTCCTCCACCCAGTGAGGGTCAGGCCCTTTCCGGGCCCCTCTGCTCTCCTGACCCCACTCCATCAGCACTTAAGCCACACGACACAAAGTCTGTACCGCACGGAAGTGCGTGGCCTCTCAGGCCGTGGGCAGCCACATCAGTGAGGTGACCCGTGAAAGTAGGTGATTCATTTGCAGAGCTTCAGGGACTGGGCGCAGAGGCCCCTCACTCGACGATGTCCGTGCGACGTAGTATTGTGCCCACCTGAGTATTGTATCGAGCCTTTTCTGTATCTACCAAGAAAGCAAAACACTAGTTTCCTATTTAAGATTTTAAGGGTTTGTGGGACGGGGTGGGATTAACACAACACTTGGTTTGGTTTTGTTTTCTTTTTCCTTTGATTTCATGTGAAAAGTGTGTGTGCTTGTGAGTATGCGTGGAGATGTGTTAGGAACCTCCCAAGGAAATTAGGCCGTTGGAGGCCAAGGGCGGCTTACAGTTCTCTGCTTTAGTCACTTATTCCTGAATGTTTCGGAGAAACAGGAAACAGAGAAAATAGCAGATGTCATGTAGGAAAGAGAGGAGAAAAACAAAAAAGAAAAAAAAGCTCATATCCAAATTCATAAAACCTATTTTTTAAACCAAAGCACATTTTGAATGAGTATGGAACCTCAATGGGCTCAGAAAAAAGATACTAATATATTTATCTCATTGTTTACATAAACTTTTACAGTTTCAGACCTCAGCAGCTGTAAGGCCAGTTCCAGTGAGTCCCCGCCTTCCCCTGGAGGCCCTTCAGAGTCAGCCCTGGAAGGGCTCACGGGCAGAGAGGCGGGCGTGGAGCCCCCTGGACTCACCTGAGCCCTCCTCCCCAGCCCCGGGCCCTCTGAGCCCAGCTGGCACCAAAGAGCTTGGGCAGTGCTGACCAGCTCCCGGGCCTGGCCGGACTGTGGTGGTCCTGGCCAGCTGGCACAGCAGGGGCTGGCTGTCAGCTCTGGCCACAGGACCTGAGTCTGGGCTTGGGCCCCGGGGTGTAACTTCAGGGGCTGCTTCCCCTGCTCCTCTGCTCCGGACCCTGGTGGGGGGGGAGGGGGGTTGATGTGAGGGTCCCTCTCAAGCCAAAAAGTCGGGACCTTTGCACAGCTCTGTTGACTCTAGTGGGTCCCTTACCCCAGGGGCTCCCCACCCTGACCCCCAGCAGTGGGAGGGGCTCACTGGGCTGGTCCTTACCAACACAGACGGTGCAAACACTCTGAACAGTGTTGTTTTTGTATCAATATATTTGTGCAGTGATGAATGTATTTATTTCTCAGACTTGGGGTGAGTGAGTGGCAGGCCCCTTTGCCACCGCGCGCTCCCGCCAGACCGAGCCACCGCAAGGGCTCCTCTAGGATTGCAAAAAAGGTGACAAAGAAAAGACAAACTTTTAAGCAAATAAGAATCTCAGAGACTCGCAGCATAGCCATACACCTCAGCCTGTGAAATGAACAATCCGGACCCAGACTGACTTTCTGAGCTTCATGCAGCCACGTGTCTCCGTGTGTCTCCCTGGGCTGCCGGGCTGCTCACCCTGCCCCATCAGTATTCACTGGACTCGGCCGAGTGCAGGAGTGCGATCTGGGCTGGGCTGCTGGGCACACACATCCCAGCGGCCCTCCCCAGGCGTCCTGAGTTGAGGCGAGCCCTGGGCAGCCACAAAGGCAGGGCTCAGGGAAGAGGCATTTGCGTCTGCCTTGTACCCTCTGCTTGGGGCCAAAGCAGAGGCTCCAGGCCATAGGAAAATAGATCAGGGGTCTCAGCCCTGCCACGCACCCCCCTCCAAGGGACCAAGGCCCTGGCTCCCCAGAGGCCTGTTGGGGCAGACGTTCCGGAACCTGTGACTCCAGTGGCTGGAGTGGGGCTGGAGAGGGGCCTGGCCAGGCCTCAGTCTGACATTCCAGATCAGGGTGGGCGTGCACGGTGGGAACTGTGGCTGCCCAGGACCCCCTTCATAGGACCCCCTGGCTTCAGTCAACTCACTTTAATTTTCTACCGGGAACCCCTCCCCCTACCTCACTATTTATTGCTGTAATTTATTGACCTCAAAAATGCTGCATAACAGACCTCAGTCAGGGCAGGGAGGATCCCCAGGGCTCCCCCCCTCCACTTGGCGGGGCCCTGTGGGGCCAGGTGCTGAGGGGAACCTCTCTGTACCCCACCCATTACTTTCCCCTTCCCCCCTTGGGGGACCCAGGTTGGGCACTGGCCCATTCGCAAATACCTCGAGGGGGAGGGGCAGGGATGGGGTTATAGCTGTTTTGTTTATGGGAACTGCAAGAGGAGGGATCATGTCCTGTTTTACGCCCTTCCCAGAAAGGGGGAGGGACACCGTGATCGCACTCCTGTACCGGCCACCGCCGCTGTCCGTCATCACATTGACTTCCCCTCGCTTGAGAGAGGATAAATTCAGGTCAGAGCTGCAGATGTGCAGCCCTCAAGTGTCAGAAAAGCAATTCACCGACAACTGATCTCCATTCAGAAGCGTGCAGTCTTAATGTACAGTGATGAGAAACTGTTATTTTATGATCTTTTCATTAAAAGCTTTGTTGAAAACTGTCTTGCATGGGCCCTCTGTGTTCTGTGACTGTTCTCTCTTCCTAAATGACAAACCGCTTTCCTCCTTGTCCAGAGCTTCCAACACCTAGGGGATGGGAGCTGGGGTGGGTCTCTGCCCACACTCGCCTAAGAGCAGGTTTCAGATGGGGCTGGGACTTCCCTTGGCGGCGTGTGCATGTGTCGGCTTGGA